TGTTGACGACATTCCCATCTTCCCCTCTTCTTCGTCTAACCCCCATCTCCTTCATCTGTGTATGGTTGGGGCTGGCGCAGTCTTCCTGTGTGAAGCACCAGACCCCTTCACACCATGGAATGATGATGATGATGTATGTTTGGGGCTGCATTGCAATATTGATTGTTCGGATCATTGGTATCTAAGTCTTCCGCTGTGCTATCTTATACTTTGTATTGAGAGGTCGGTTCTTTTTCTGGTTTGCACCGTTACAGTATGCAACTTACACACACACACACTGACGCATGTGGCGAACTTGACAACACACACTCACGGCCCCGCCCGCCCGCCCGTCCGCACAAGCGCACACACGAACACAAACGGACATGAATGCACAAACCCAACCGTACGCACGCACACAAATGCATTGTGGGCAGACTGTCAGGGTTCAACCTCCTGATAAGTTGGTGAAAGTCCAAAGAAACAGTTTGGCACAGTCGTGCTTTTGGGGGGGCGTTCCCATGAACACATGAAGTGTGTGTGTGCGTGCGCGAGAGAGATTTAGAGAGAGAGAGAGAGAGAGAGAGAGAGAGAGAGAGAGAGAGAGAGAGAGAGAGATGCTCAGTTGAGCAATGTATATGGAGCCAAGGATCCGCAAAGTGATGAAAAGGACTCGAATGGACAATGCAGCATCAGCAACGCATCAACAAGCAATGTACATCCAGATACATATGAACATAGCACAATATAGCRCAGCAGAGAACTCAAAGATATGACCTGACCTGTCAGATACTGACGTGACATCCCATCATACACCACACATATGAGAGAGGGAGCAGGGACCASATACATGGAAGAAAGGTCACTCCTTGCACATGCACATGGGGAAGGTACCACARATGAAGAGATGGGGGAGAGGCGAGATGAAGATGGAGGTGAGGGAGAAGACCAAGATCATCGTAGCGAAGTCTAAAAATAGTCTCCGTGCGGAATGTCCAATCAATGTCTGCCATGTCCAATCAGACCTAGGGCTTCATTCCCGATGTAACCTCTGCCTGTAACCCCTCTTTCTCTCTCTCTTTGTCTTTGAAAGAAGAAAAAGAAGGAGAAGATGAGGAAGGAGGGAGAGTAGATGGAGGGCAAGACGCCTGCAGGTTTCGTTATGTAACTGTCGTCGTGGTCCATGTGCAGGTCGAGGGCGTGGAGCGAGGCTATGGCGCCCAGCTGAGTACCCCCGCTGCAAGTATGGCCTCCGCCTCACCTCCTACCTACACCTGTACCTCTACAGCGCAGCGCTGTGTCGCCCAAGAAGTGAGTTACTCGAACTGTGTGTCTGCCCTGGCCTGGCCCAGCTATAAGTAGCATTGGGCCGCGCGGGTGTGTTTGAGTGCCTTTGGTCCTAGGCCAAAACGTGGGCCTAAGGCCGGCCGTGGGCCTACAAAGGAAGACTCAAAACAACTATGGCTGCTCTAGCTCAGGCCGCCATGCCTGACTCTGCCTCGAAGCTTTTTGGTGTAGCTCTACCCCAACTGGGGTCTTCCTGCTCAGGGCCCACCAAGGTGATGAAGATGGTTGCCACCATAGCCAGGTAAGTACCTCTGGCGCTTTCTTCCTCCTCCGTGTCCTTGCTCCTTCCCTAGCAGCGCTGCTCTTGTTAGCGCTGCTCCAGCCAGCGCTCCAACAGGTTTGTTGCCAAACTTGCATACCGACAATGAGGCTGGGCTCTTCGCCCGTCCTGGAGATATAGCGGCCTGCTTGCCACTTCGGGAGGTGACTTCCAGGCCGCTCGGCCTTCCAAGCAACCGGTACCTCGTCCCTTTCGGAGGGAAACATCATTGCAGACTTTGATATTGCCCGTACAGGCCCTAGACTCAGACTGGTTGGACTGGTGCCCGCCTAGACCTAGCTACAACTGCCGGCCTCTAAAAATTCCTTTTTTGTTTTCTTTTGCTCGACCTCTAGTACCCGCACATCTACCTCTTCAGGATGCGGTACTTGCCTTCCTGCTACTCGAGTGTTTTCCCCCGCTGATCCTCAATGTCACGGTCACAGGTAAGTAGCGGCCCTGACGGCCCAATGAACGAACAAGTGCCCTTGTGGGTCACACTCACACTTAAACCAACAAGCACTAAGACAGACATGCAGACCAGCAAGCGTGTTACACAGACTTAGAGAACTTGGTAGCAAGTGGGAAAGCAAGGCATTCAATCTATGAGCAAAAACTCAGAAATCAGTTGTGTGTCTCAGCCCGTGTTTGGTCGGGTCATCACACTACCCCCCCCTTAAGAGCGAGGTCCCTTCGAGCGAGTAACTCAGTATGAGCCGACAAACGCATCGTAAGCAAATATAGCAAAGAGATTTCGTGAGTGCTCTGTTGCCGTGAGCTTTGCAAAGATTTTGGGAACAACATTAGAGGTTATTTGTCGTTCGTAGGCTTTAACAACGCGAAGTGCGCTGCACAACAGCTCCTTCTTGGAGATCCAGTAGAGATCGTCGAATGGGTGATACATAAAGTGAACTTGGTACTGTTGCTGTTTGATTCTATCGATCTCATGATCGCCATCGAATCATGTCTTCACGGTAATCGAAGGACTTAGCATCACGGTGGATATACAATTTTGATGCATGAAAGACGGGGTATGTGCGCAAATGAGGTGGCACAACAACTATGTATAAGGGGCCAAACCCATCCATGCCAATCATTTAGGAATTCCCACGGACCATGGTAGATCTGAAGTAGCTTGCGTGAGACTCCCTCTTCATCCGAGAATTCGGACATTTTGACCTAGACATAACTTCCTACTTTGATATCCGAAGGTCGACGCTTCTTGTTCGCATGATGAATCATTGCGTGTTGTCGCGTGCTCATTGCTGCGATGGCAACTTTGAGCAAGTGATCGTACTTGGCCCTGAAGTCAGGCCTGCCGGGTGTTAAACCAGCTGGCTGTTCAGGTAACAGGTAGGAGAGTGGATTTCAAATCTGCCAACCGTAATGCAGCCTATTGGGCGTCATGCCAGTGGAAAAATGAATGGAGTTGTTGTACAACCCTTTCACAGAATACTGCTCTTTATCCCACGTCTCCTGATCCGGAATAATTAAAGGGCGAAGAAGTTGGAACACAGTCTGGTTGATTTTGTCGGCCAAACCTTTGGCTTCGGGATGTCTGCCAGATGTCATGCATAGTCTGAGGCCAGGGAGTTGGGATGTGAAGTCCATTCAGTATTTATGAAGCGCGGGTTTTTGGGGTTCTGAACTGCAGAATGTATTTCAGTTCCCGATCACTCACAAGAGTTTTCGGGGTCCCGAACTGTAGAATGTACTTTTGTTCAAACTCACGGATCACCAATTCGGGTGGCGCATGAGATGGCAAAGGAATCAGATTCAGGAATTTAGATCGGGTTCATCGGGACTGGGAAGGGGTGTAAGTAGCCCCATGGGCTTTTGTCTACATGGTTTGATTCGTTGACAAACCTGACCCTCAGCCACAAACTTTTCAGCACATCCCTTTATACCAGGTCAAACAGTCTGTCTTAATAGGTTTCCGTATGTCTTTGCCATGCCGAAGTGTCCACTGCGCTCGTGAGCCAAATCTAAGAACTGCGTGCGGAGAGGCTCATGGTTGGGCAAACACAAACGGTTGTGATTCTCGTAGTGTTG